ACAGAAGCAGAATGCGGTAATTAGTTCTATCTACGGGGCAGAAGCAGAGTTCAAAGGCTAAATGTGAAAATTGGTTCTATCTGCAGGGGGTGCTAGCCCTAGTCCTAGTGACTATCTGGCTATTTGCTTTATTTGCTCTTCCCAGACGGCCTTATCGTTCTCCTATGGTGCCTGGGGTCTTGGGTGAGCAAAGGTCTCCCAGGGCTTCTCCTATCAGTGCCAGTTCCAGTCCTCACTATCCGGCCACCCACCCTCCCAGACGGCCCCATCATTCTCTCTAGAGAGCCTGGGGCCTGGGCAAATAAAGGTTAAACAGGGGTTTCTCAAAGTTTCCCATATCATAAGTAGCATAAATGGTAGGAAGAAAATGGACAGGGGGAGGTTAAGAATAGTATAGGAAATGGAGAAGCCAAAGAACTTGTATGTATAACCCATGGACGTGAACTAAGGGGGGAAAATGCAGGTGGGAGGAAGGGCAATAAAGGGGGGTAATGGGGCAAGTGTAATAGCATAATCTATAAAATATATTTAAAGTCAAAAGAATAAACAAAAATTCATTGCTGGGTACTATATATGATTACATTTAATTTGTTATGCAAGGTTTTGTTTTTGTCCACAGTCGATGTACCTCATTCCTTTTTTCCTTTGCTGGTTTCTGTATTGTTGTTACATGCCATTGGGTCAGCTCCAACTCCTGTCTTGAATGAGTGATGTCCACAATGTCCCGCCCCTGGCAGCCCTGCTCAGCTCCTGTAGACTCATGGCTATGGATCCTTTAGTTCCCTCTCCAGAAGATTTTAGGAGAGCACAGTGATTAGAAGCATGGGCTTTGGACTAAAACCACCTAGAAGACTGCCTGTGTAATCTTGGACAAATTTCTTAATCTCTCTGCACCTCAGCTTCCTTATTTACAAAATGGAGTTGTTGGAAGTTTTCATTTGTTGATCTTTAGAGAGAGAGAAAGACAGAGAGAGGGAGGGAGAGGGCCAGAGAGAGAGAGAGAGAGAGAGAGAGAAAGAGATTTGTTGTTCCACTTATTTATGCATTCATTGGTTGATTTTGTATGTGGTCTGGCTGGGGCTTGAACCTGTAAACTTGGTGTATCAAGATGATGCAGTATCTATGTGAGCTACCTGACCAGGGCCAGTTGTTGGAATTTTAAATGAGTTGATACATATAAAACTTAGCACAGTGCCTGGCAAACGGTATGCACTACATAAACATTTTTATTATTAGGGTCTCTTTATTAAATTTGAATAATAAAATTAGTGTCCTTTTTTACTTATGATGCTAGGTATCAAGAGGTATGTGACACAGCTTTTAAGTGTTATAAAACTTCCTTGTACTAGTCTTTGGTAAACTTTCTCTCTTCTGTCTGCTTTATTACCTCTTCCTGGAATGCCTCTTAGATGTTGAACATCTGGGCTCACCTCTGATTTTCATATTTCTTCTCCTATTGTATATCTTTTTTAAAAAAAGGTTTTATTTATTTATTTTTAGAGACAGGGGGAGGGAGAAAGAGAGAGAGAGAAATATCAGTGTGTGGTTGCCTCTTGCCCTCCCTACATGGGGGAACCTGGCTTGCAACCCAGGCTTGTGCCCTGACTGGGAATCGAACCAGCGACCCTCTGCCTCACTGTCCTGAGCTCAATCCACTGAGCCACACCAGCCAGGGCTGTGTATCTTTCTTTTGGTTCTACTTTCTGGTCAATTTCCTCAGCTTTATCTTCTATGTCTTCTGCTGAATTTTAAAATCTTAAGCTATCTTTTGTATTGTAAGGGCTTTGTTCTTATCTTTTTGTGAATACTTTATCTTCTTTCATGTTTGCCTTCTTTTCCCCCTCCCATTCCCTATATTGTCCCTTTCCTGAATTTTTCTTTTTTTTTTTTTTAGCTTTGTCTTCCTTCAAGTTGGAGGCTTGCCTCAGATAACTGCTCATTTTTAAGAATTAGACATTAAAAAGAATGTGCTGGAGTGAAGCTTTTCGACTGGGAGGTTTCCATACACAAGGATTTTGACTGGGGGCTCCTCAAATGTTTCTATTTATAGGCCTTTTGCTGGGGGGCACATTCATTTTGTCCAGGAGTATTGGTAGAAGCTTCCTGCAGTGTTTTTAATAGCTGAGAAAGGGGTTCGGGGCCTCATTTTCCAGGTTTTATTCTGTTTTGGGTCAGGCCCCCTGTCTTCTGCTGTGCCTAGTAGCCCTGATTTTGCAGTATTTTTTTTTTTATTCACATTTTTCCTGAGAATAAACCTCCCTTTATCTGCCAAGGTGAGGAACAGTCTTCTCGATGTTTGAATGGGGGAGAAGTTTGAGAACTTCAAAGATCTAATTACCCTGTATAAACTTTCAAGGAGTGTGTTTTTACCCCCACCTTTGATCCCAACTCCCTTAGTACCTCTGGGGCATATCTCCTCACTTCCTGTTAGTATTCCCCAACTCTGAAGGCATTTACACTTTGGCTTCTTCTCTCCTGCTAAGTCACTTACCCCTCTTCCGCCTCTTCTCCTTTTCCAAGAACTACTGACACTTTTGCTATTTCCTCTCCCACCTTCTAGTCCCTGGGGTTTCTTATGCTGTTGAGTCCTTTGCTGTCAACTCAGGGGAAGATGCAAACCTAAATCTGGGTGTTACATCCCCTGGTCCAGGACTGGGGAAACGGGAAAACTCTCTACTTTGCCAGACTCTAAATGTATCAGTTGACTCGTTTTTATCAGACTTTAAAAGATTCAGAATTCCAAGGATCCAAACATTAGCCACGAGAATTTTCAACCAAGTCCTTTTTATTTATTACACTAGAAATCATGTTATTGACTAAATCACCAGGACTTTTCAGCACAAAGTTTAACATCTCAGTGACTACCAAGGCCTGGGCTCTGGGGCTAGCTCTGCCTCTCCCAGTCCTTAAAGGGGTTTAGAGGGAGAGACTTCATTAACAGAGACCAAGTCAGTGGTTGCAGGGCCTCCTTTCCCAGTCACTGGACAAGGTGCTCAATTCTTGTCCGGAGCAGGAAAAAGACAGTAAGTATTTCAGAAAAGTCTAATAAAGAATCTGACGCTGCATTATAAGATCTTTCTCAACAATTTAAATTTATCAACCCTATTAATCCAGATTCATTTGCTTCGGAGTTTTTCCCCCCTGGCGTTTCCCTCAAACTGGAATAACCTCATTTTGCTCTTGGAAAGAGGAAACTGGTTTTTCTGCTCGTCTTCCAAGCAGAAATTGAACAAACCTCCCCACCGAAGTCCAAAATGTTACTTTTGGCCTTGGAATGTGCAGTTTGTGATGGGCTGATTGAAATCACCTAGAAAGGGCAACTGTGGAACTGGTATGTGGGCAGCCGCCTTTGGAAATTTGTTCCTAAAATCAACTCTTGAGACTCATCTGGGATTGTGTGCAAAGGCTCCAAGGTCCAAACGGCTTCTGCTACTCCATCTCACAAGCTAGGCTCAGCAGAGGCACTGGAATTGTCGTGGGCAAGAGCCGCAGCAGTGGTCCCACGAGGTAGGACCTCAATGACTCGAGGCTTGTCAATGATCCGGGCCGTCCGGTTTCCCTTTTCCACAATTCCGACGATCCATGCTTGGTGACCCTCCCCATACTTGGAAGATTTGATTTCGGAACAAAAGCGAGCAGCCTGTTCCCTCGGCAGGCAAATCAGCAATCCCCCAGAAGTTTCTGCTGAGGTTCCTTGAAGGAGCCCAAAGCGCCCACTGGCCTTGCTGATGGCAGCCATCTTGGCAATGATTGGCAGATTATGAATGACAAAAGAAACCTCATTTCTCTGTTGTCTTGCAAGGTTCTGAGAGTGTCCCAGAATACCAAAGCCCGTGATATCCGTGGCAGCATGGGCATTAAATGTGTGCATTAACCCGGCAGCAGTTCTGTTTAGGGTAGCCATGTTGAACATGGCTTCCTGATAGGCCAGCTCTACCTCTTCTTTGGAGACCACCATCTTTATCTTATTCCATCTTTCAGGATTGTCCAGCCATTGGTGGGCATTGACAGCAACTTGGGTGCCTAAGGGTTTGGTTAACACCAGCACATCCCCAACAACTGCGCTGTCAGGCATGATGAATTCATTTGGCTGACACACCACAGTGGCAACCCCACCCACGATAATCCAAGGGTTTACCACAGTTTGTCCACCAGTCACTGCAGTCCCTCCTTCCTCCGCAGCATCCCGAAAGCCTCTGATCATGAGCGGGGTTATCTTTTCACGTTCCTCCTCAGTCATATTCTGGCTGACGCTGAGTAACATCAACATGTTGTCACATTCAGTAATGCCCATGGCATAGAGGTCACTCAGCACATTGGCACAAGCTATGCGTCCCATCATGTAGGGGTCTTCCACCAAAGGGTAAAAGAAGTCCGTGGTTTGCACCAGTGACAGGCCTCCGTGCCTCAGGGGTATGACGCAGGAGTCCATGCCAATGCCCAGGGTTGGAAAACTTGGGCTGCATTCCGCCATGACCCGCAGGCCGGCCTCCTGGGCCGCCTCTTCCTGGCCTCCGACCAGTCCCCGGCCCAGCGGGGCCCGCACGTCCGGCCGCGTCAGTCCCGCCAGGAGTTTGAGCAGCGTCTCCTGGGGGACCTTGCAGCCTCAGCCCTTCATGCCGGAGAAGCCGGTCAGCCGCCAGCTCGGGCTGAGGCCCAACGCCTGGGGATCGAAGGCGCGGTAGCTCGAGAAGCCGCGGCCCCAAGACGAGGCTCCCGCGGAGCCTGCCGCGGCCGCCGCCGCCGCCGCCACGGCCTCCCCGCCGGCACCCGTCGCTGAGGTTTCTGCCATTGCGCCTGCCGGGCAGGGAGGGAGAAGAGGAGACGTCCCTTTATTTTCTACTCCACTTGGGACGGAGTACAGTCAGATATTACCGCAGAGACTGTAGCCCGCGCGCTTCGCGCGGAGGAACTCAAGGCACGCCCCGCCGTCCTGGCCTTCCAGCGTGAGCAACCGACAGCCACTCCTAGCGATTCCCTGGTGATTGACAGCCGTTTCATCCAATAACGGCTTTGCCACGGAGGGGCGGGTTTCCTTTGGTCTAAAAGACTTAACGTGTCACAAAATCACCCACCGACTTGCGAAATTTGGTCTCCCGTAGATTACAGAGCAAGTGCTTTGGTTTGCTCCAGGTGTTGTGAGTTGATGGCCCTTTGAGGGGTGGAGGTGGCTGACGAAGCTCGGCTCCCCTAGAGGCTGTTTACCAAGTACTGCCTTTTGTAAGACGAGGGAAGATGGATAAGCTTGCCAAACCTCTAGCCGGCCAGAGTTGTCCAAAGGTCACTTGACAGCGCGCATGATCAATTGGGGTAAGAAAATAGCCAGTGGAAAAAATCGGAAAGAGCAATAAGAAATTAGATAAGCAAACTGCAACATCAAAATAATGAAATGTTTAAAAGGGCTTTAATGAATTTTAGGACCCTGGACACCTTCATAAATTCTGGTGCTGTTCCCAGCATTAAGTATGTAAGTTACTTTCCCTCTCCTGGCATCAGCTTACTCATTGGGGCAACAAAGTAGCTTACCTAGGTGTCTTCTGTTCTGAAGTTTCCGTATCTCTTTAAGTTAATATATATATATATATATATATATATATGAACATAGATATATCCATGAAGGATATAATCTATTAAAATTATAAGGACATTTTGCCCTTAATGGTTCATGTTGCTCAGTGGATTGAGTGCCAGCCTGCAAATCCAAAGGTCAGGGCACATGCCAGGGTTGTGGCCCAGGTCCCCTTTTGGTGCTGTGGCGAAGGCAACCAATCAATGTATTTCTTGCTAATTCATGTTTCTCACCCTCTTTCTCCCTTCCCTTCTAAAATATATATATAAATAAAATCTTAGTAAATGTTACAACGGTATTTAATACATTTGATGCAGCGGTTCCAATTCTAGGACTTTATCCTACAGATGTGAGTGGAAAGTGATATATTAGTTATTACTTTGCTGTTTGTAATAACGACATACTGGAGACAACTTAAATGTTTATCCATTAGGATTAAAACATTATGATACATTGATATAACACGCTAACAAGCAATTGTAAAACAGAATCAGAAAACATTGATGGAGTTATATTGATAACAGTTACAGTTCTAATAGGCACAGTTCTAAAAGCTTTACATATATTAACTAATTTAATTCTCTAAAACCTTTTGAGTTAGGATTCTTTCCATTCCTTACAAATAAGGTATATAAGACACTGAGTGATAAAATCATCTATTGAAGGTTACAGACAGTTTATTGTGAAGCAGTATATTCATTATGTATCCAGTCTGTCCCAGAGACCACCAGGTTATACTGCCTATGGTGTGTGTTAAAAGAAATAAGCAAGCTTCAGAACAGTATGTATACAATGATACTATTTGTTGTAAAAGTGGAACTATATGCTTTAGTCTATTTCTGGAAGGGTAATCACCAGAACCTGGTAATATTGATTGCCTCTGGAAACAGAATGAGGTGGTTAGGGGATGAGAGATTTTTAATTGTATTGCCTTTTGGTTCCTTTAACATCTGGAACTTGAATAAGAACATTTAAAAACATTCGAAGATGTTACACACCTTTTTTAAAAAGGAACTGCTTAAAGGAGTATAAATTGGTGCAGCCATCTTGGAAAAGAGTTTGGCTTTAACTGATAAAGCTGTGCATTCCACCCATGAGTGTAATGCCTCAGCAATTCGACTTATAGGACATACCCTAGAGGACAGCTGGCACAGGTGTGTACAGGTACAGGTACCTGTGGCACAGGTACAAGAATGTAAGAGCACTGGAGATGGATTGCACAACAATGGGAATGTTCTTAACACTACTGAGCTGTATAGTTAAAAATGGTTAAGATGGTAAATTTCATGTCATCTGCATTTTTTCAGACTTTTTTTTGGGGGGGTGGAGAAAACCATTAATGGAATTGCCTCTCACCACCACCACCACCACAAAAAATAAAATAAAATGAAAAAGAATTTCATCTCCCATGCCCCCAGCCAGGGGCCTGACCAGTGAGTGACCCAGGCATGTGCCCTGACCAAATCCAACTGGCGACCCTTTGGTTCTCAGGTCAGCCCTCAACCCACTGAGCCACACTAGCCAGGGTACGTGCCATTTGTATTTTGACATAATTAAAAATACAGGAGGTAGTTATAGACCCTATAGTATTGGGTTGGCCAAAAAGTCCAAATAATTTTTTCATAAAATGGAAGACACATTTTTCATTTTCACCAGTAACTTTATTGACTTGGATATTTTGAGTATGTTGGCTAGCGGTATACAACACACGGTATAATGTTGCTTGTTCTCAATTAATGTCTCAATTTGATTGCTATCAACTTCAACTGATCTATCTGACCATGAAGCATTGTCCAGTGAGAAATCTCCAGCACAAAACTTCACAAACCACTTTTAACAGTGTGGTCAGTGGACATGGCCCTCACCCTCCCATGGCTGAGGGTGGACCAGATGGCCACTGGCCAGAAGGAATGTGTATTGTTTGGGGAATGGATTGTAACTCCCTCCTTAATCTCCTTTTGGGAGCAGCTTTTTGTCCTGTGCCTGCTTCTTGACCTTTCACACACTGAGGTAATGTAGTTTAGAGTCACGCATAGGACATGTGCCTCCTTTGTCTGGGACCCCTTACAGCGATCTTCAGACTAGAGGAGATGAGGTCTCTCCTGACCTGCTGCCGTTGGTGCACCTCCCTGTGATGTGAGTAATAAACAGCATGTCCACAGCAGTCCACCAGATGGGTTTTTTCCAGAATATCATGAACACTGAAGCAGCTCCCAGGTTTGGGTTTGGAGCTCCTGTGCTACAGACATGTTCCATCAGTCACAGCACCTTCTCCATACACCGCACCCATCTTTTATTGTGTTTCAGTCACATTTTTACCTTTCTTGAAATAATAAAGCGTAATATGCTGAAAATGTTGCATATTTTCTTCCATCTTCAATATTAAAATGGCTACACAAAAATTCACCAGTTTTAATGATTTTTTTTAATGCATACTGATATGACAGCTGTCACAATACAATCTAACAAAATTGTTTCAAATGAAGTTAAAGACAACTAAGTGTGACTAGAGCCATCTTACGAAAAAAATCAAACAAAGTTTTTGGCCAACCCAATACATCATCACCCTTGGCTTTTATTAGTGCACAACACAGTATTAAAGCATGGAGTGAATTGGAAGAACTTGAACTTTAGAATTAGACTGAGTTGCAATCATGGCTTGGGTGAGTTGACCTAGGGTAAATTATCTAATCTCCAGAAACAGGAGTTTCTTTTGCCTATAAAAGAGTCCTGTCACCTAAAGATAATACATACCAGATAGGCATGTTATGAAAATTCAATTAAAAAAATGCATGTAAAGCACCTAACATAGTTCTTGGCTGATGGTAAACTCAAGTTAAATGGTAGAACCTATTATCACTCAGTACTGTTAAGGTGGGTATAGGTAGGAACTGGAATTTAAATTCATAAAACTTAAAACATCTTGGAAAAATTTATTTATTTTAATTGTTCAAGTACAGTTTTCTGCCTTTTACCCCCATCCCAGACCTCCCCCCGCCAGCCCTCCCTCCCTCCCTCTTGTTCCCACCCACCTCGTTATTGTCCATGTGTCCTTAATACTTGTTCCTGCAAACCCTTCACCCTTCTCCCCTGAAATTCCCTCCCCTCTTCCCTCTGGCTACTGTCCGCCCATTCTCAATTTCAGTGTCTTTGGTTATATTTTGCTTGTTTGTTTATTTTGTTGATTAGATTCCTGTTAAAGGTGAGATCATATGGTATTTGTCTTTCACCGCCTGGCTTATTTTGCTTAGCATGACGCTTTCTAGTTCCATCCATGCTGTTCCAAAGGGTAGGAATTTTTATAACAATAAATTCATTTGTCTTCCTTAAAAGAAAGAATATTACAGGGATACATAAATAAACTATTTGTGAAAATGAATTAAAGCTCTAAGAATCAATATGGATAATATAAAAATGTTGGTAGTAAGAAGCAAGTTACAGAATAATACATAAACTAAGATTCCATTTACATAAAGTTCAACACAAGTAAGGGAGAAATGTGGCCAACTGCTCGGGTATAGGTACAAAGGCCCCGAAAATGATGCTCTGTCTACGAGGAAACCTTTTGCATTTGTCAAGAAACAGGTCACTTGGTTGCACATAGCTAAGAGAAGGCAAAGGGGATACCTCTTTATCCCCTGGAAAGGGCAATTACATTTATCAGTGACCCATGTATCATTAGTGGCAAAACTTGAATTCCTAGTTTTTTCCAAGGAGGGCACCAATAGGCAGGAAGGGATGAGAGGAACTGGTATGACTGGCCAGGGGAAAAAAAGAATAGGGCAGTTCACCCACCTAGAAATAAAGTACAAGACTTCTTTGCAACTTCTCTGGTTGGGCATCTCAGCTAATCTGCCTGTGGGAATGGTACCTGGACAGATGCTCTCTGGCGAGATCTTGACCTTTGGCCAGGCTTCCCCTGGAACCAATAAAGGCTTGTTATGGTGTGGTCCCTACTGGTCCTTCACCCCCTGCCAAGTTGTTATACACACTCAAAACCGTAAGTTTTGCATTCAGGCCTGGGATTCTTTGAGGCTTTGGCACAAACATCCCGGGCCTAAATGGAGACCCTTTGGGGCCTTGGAACATCCTCTCTGCTGGTTTGTTCTCCTTGTCTCCCCTCCTTACCATATTGGCCTTGAAGTGGGCCTGCGGTGAACTTTGCAAAATTACATCTGACTATGTCACTCCCCCAATTAAAAACCCTGCCATATCTTCACCTGTTTTAAAAGATTTTATTTATTTAGCCCTGGCTGGTGTGGCTCAGTGGATTGGGCACAGGTTGTGAACCAAAGGGTCACTGGTTTGATTCCCAATCAGGGCACATGCCTGGGTTGTGGCCAGGTCCCCAGTGGGGGGGCACATGAGAGGCAACCACACATTGATGTTTCTCTCCATCTCTTTCTCCCTCCCTTCTCCTCTCTCTAAAAATAAATAAGTAATATTAAAAATATTTATTTATTTTTAGAGAGAGGAAAAGGGCTGGGAGAAAGAGAGAAAAACATTCATGTGTGAGGCATGCGCCCTGACTGGGAATCCATCAGGTGACTTTTTGACCCTCTAGCTTGCAGGCCAATGCTCAGACTACCGAGCCACACTAGCCTATGCCAGTTTCTGTAAAATGAAAACTCCTTAGTTGGCATTCAAACCCTTTGCCTAGTGTGGTTTCAGCCTTGTGCCTCTGAAATGCTGGTTTCTTTAAGTGAATGCTCCCTCCCACACACACTATTTGATTAACCTCTCCAGTCAAAACACCTGGAGCATTACCGCCTCCCAGAAGCCTTCCCTGAATCTCATCCTGGTTTGGAATCCCCTTCATCTGAGCACTTAACCATCAAGAGTTCCTTGAGGATACTTAGTCACTCAACAGCATTACCCAGTGAGTGCTGGTTACTGGAGGTAGAAGGATGAGTAAGACAAAGTCTGTCCTCAGTTTCTACGCAGAAGAGTGACACTGAAGAAGTCATTTCAAGTGTGGTAAGGACTATGCAGGAGGCATAGATGCAGGAGAGAATCCTACATGATCCAAAGGCCTCTCCAAAGAAGCGGTAAAGAGTGACTTGGAATAAGCAAGAAAGGAGGAGGGGGATGGGATGGGAGGCGGAGTGTTCTAAGTAGAATGAAGAGTATGCACCAAGGCCCTGGGGATTCAAGAACTGAAGTTCTAGTGAGGCTGAAGGCAAATAGTGAAGTGCACAGTAATGAGTAAGACAGCTTTTTCCTAATTCAACTTCAACTTCCCAGTCCTGAAAGGGGCCTGGCACACAACAGGTCTCATTAAACACAGGATCCTGCAAAAATAACACCCCCTTTTCATGAGCTGGTATTCTACACCAAATCTTTTATTACAAAGTCATAAGCATGTAGTTCTGTACCATAACAATATCACCCTGAAGCACACAATATGATGTTATAGGCAAACTATTCAAATTGCTGTCCATCTCGTGAGACATTCATGTGCCCCACCATCCACAGTCAGTGGAATTACTTCTGCTGGGCTATGGAAATTACATTCCATACTTTAGTGAAATGTCCTTGGACTGTGCTGTGCCTCTACAAAACTTCATAACCTCACAAGCTGCTATGTCCTCATCAATCTGGCAAACTCCCACAGCACGTTTATCTTCTCAGTGAGGGCTGTACCAAATATCTACTCCCTTCAGGGGAGTTACTCAGTTTCCCCACTAGTCTGTCAGAACACCTGTGGTTTCCTTTGCATGTATATATAAAACTTATGTATATATACCCATATGTATTTTTATCACAATCTCCTTTACTAGATTAAGATTATCAAAAACAGGAACTATCTCTAATTCTAGGTAGATATTTGTACATGTTTGTAAAACAAATGCATGGAGTCATTGTCCTCCTTTTCAAAAAGTCTGCTTCCAAGTCCTTCCACAGTGGAATACTCTTCCTGCTCTCAGCTGGGTGTCCTCACTCACTCTAATCAGGCCAAGCAAGCCTTGCCTTTTGTTAGAGGTGGGGTTCCAGCCAGAACTTGGTCCCCACCTACCTCTCTTCCACCTCACACACTACATCCCCCCCCCCCCAACAAGCCTTCTTTCTTTTTCTCAAATATGCCAAGCTTCTTCTTACCTTAAGGCCTCTGTAGTTCTGTTTAGAACTACACACGTCCTCTGGAGTTACAAGTGGCTAATGTTTTCTCATCATTGAAAGCATCTCAATTATCATTTCCTCAGAGATGCAGCCCCTGCCCACATTAAAGAAGCCCCCAATCAAACCACTCCCTAGTAGTGCATCATCTTGCTCTATTTCCTTCTTGCACCTATCAGTATCTGAAATTATCTTTATTTTTTACATTTTTGGATGTTTTTCATCCTCACCCGAGGACATGTTTATTGATTTTAAAGCGAAAGGAAGGGAGAGAAACATCAGTGGAAACATCGATGGGCTGCCTCCCATTCCCAGCCTGACTGGGGACCAAACCTGCCGCAACAGCAACCTTTTCAGTGTGGGGGCCATGCTCTACCACACTGAGCCATATGGCCAGGGCTACAGTCGACATTTTTTATACCCTTAGAATGGCCATAATAGTCAAGGTTTTTGTCTGTTTTATTCATTACTGCATCTCCAGTACCTAGAATGGGGCCAGGCACTTAGTAGGGCTCAATAAATACTTGATGAAAGAATGAACGCAATCAAAGTGGCTTTGGGGATCCTGAGTGTTGAGTATCCTGGCACTGGCCACCTCTCGCCAGCTCTGGGGAAGAACACAAGTTTGTCCACATTTAATCCCAACATTCAAATTATGTCCCAGATCTGAGGATTGAGGCTTGGATTTGAGTCCCAGCTCTGCTACCAAAATCCCACAGGTAACCTCATTTGTGAGAGAGAGCTTAATGCAATAGAGAGAACGCCAGCCTTGGAGTCTGTTACAGCTATATGACTTAGAACAAATGACTTAAAGTCTGTCTCCAAGCTTTAGTTTCCTCAATTGTCAAAGGGAGATACTATTACTGATCCCCACAGAGGAGTTGTAGAGGCAAGGTAGGGATTTTAAGCATTTACTGAATGTTATTTCTCTTTTCTTTCATCATGTGATTCTTAGCTATCCCATTCATAAAATGGGAGAATTAGATTTTTTTCCCAAGGGAAATGGGAAATACAGTTTTTACATGAAATATCCCAATTTTGGAATGTTGGAAATAAAAACGTGTAAAGCATCTTTTTTTTTTAAGCTGTTTTTTAAATGTAAAAACATCCTGAGGGTCAAATAAGATACTTCCGTGGTCTGGATTTGGACTGTGAGCTACCGATTTTCCACTCAGGCTACTGGATTGTCAGGGATGCTATATAATTTAGGCAAATTAGTTAATTCCCAGAACTTCAATTAGTCCATCTGTAAAATGGAGCCGCCTTTGTGCAGATCATAAGAGATCGCCAAACTCAGATACAGACAACAGATTGGAAGGGGCGGGAGGAGTATGAGGATGAACGTGGTCGTATATAGGGTCCGGGAAGGCAACTAGCCTTTGGGTAGTGATATTTTACCCCAATACATTTAAAATGAAACAGATGTGAATGCCGAACGCTTTGCCTAACACTGGCAAATAGGCCCACAACAAGACGTGACGGCGGTAGCTTTTTGTGGCTGTTGATTTGGTAAGTATATATTCAAAGATCAAGATATTCATGAGACAAGGAAACCGAAGAAGCGACGCGCAAAAAGGAGAAAAGATGGCAAAGAAGGAAGAAGAGGAAAGGGAAGAAGTGAGGAGGAGGCAACAGGGCTCGTCCTCCAGCGGGGCACACCCAGAGGCCTAGGCCAGGGCTGGAGTACACGTGGCCTAGTTTGGGCGGAGCCGATGTGCCTGGCTGCAGCTGAGACACTCGAGCCGGCCACGAGAGACGCAATCCTTGAAGGTGGGTTCCAAGCGGACTGCGAGGACCTTGAAAGTTGGGGTTGTACAGCCGGGGGCGTGGGGGGGGTCCTATGAATAAGGACAGAGCGGAACACGCAGGTCTGAGCTTTCCACCCTCCAGGGACAGTGTGGCAGGGACTCCTGGGTCCTCTGGATCCCTCCTCTAGGGGCGGGATTAGGTTTTCTGACCAATGACCGGCCGCCCCTAGGCCCTGACCCGCCCCCGGAACCGCCGTTCTACCGAGTGGCCAACCATTGGGACTGTGGCTTTGGGCTGCGCGAGCACGGAACCCCTAGCTGGTGAGTACGCGCTCTTCAGGCTCTCCGCCCTGATCCCGCCTTCAGCGGGTACCCGCAGCTCTCGGCCGTCAGGGAGTGACTCAGCGCAGGGAGGTTGGCGGTTCCTTGGGATTGGAGATTCGAACTGCTCAGGTTCCAAAATACAGAGATGAGTGGGGTGAACGAGTGTCTTCAGAGCTGGTCCCTGGGAAGTGCTTGTGCCTAGGGTCGAGCTGGGGTGGAAGGGGGAGAGGACCAGACCCAGAGAAGAGGATCGAGCTAGAGAAGTCAGGGCTACTACACCACTTTGCCTGGGCCAGGGCTATGGTGGGAGGCGGGTCCTGAGCTTCTGACTCAGCTGCCCTCCCCAGGACACCAAGATGCCTGGCGAACCACAGACGGTGGAGGAGAAGGAAGAGATGCAAGAGGAGATGGTGCTGCTGGTGAAGGGTGAGGAGGATGAGGGTGAGGAGAAGTATGAGGTGGTGAAACTCAAGATCCCCGTGGACAGCAAGGAGGTATGTGTCCCACACTCTGGGGCCCCGTTTCCCCTAACCTGGTTCGGTTCCAGTCTCCATGCTACAGAAGCCGGGTCCTGTCCCTACTTCTCCATGAATCTCAGGTTTAGGATCTGAGGGTTGATAACCCATCCTTGTGCCCCCACTTCCCATGCTGACGTCAAACATGTCACACCTACTGTGCCAAACTCTGTGCTGGGTGATGGAGAGTAAATGTTATCCTTCGTTCCCCGTGGAGCCTGAAGTGTGTAGTAGGGTAGACTGCTAAGTAACCATGCAGCTACAGTTTTGTGTGATGAGTGCAGGCACCAGGATGGAACCCCAGAGCTGGGAACTTATTGCTGACTGGGTGGGGGGATGGGCCAGGTTAGGCAAAGGTAACCTCTGACTCTTGGTACAGTGTCATTTACTATTCTCCACTGCTTTTTGAAAATAATCTTTCCCATGTTTTTTAAAATTGTATTTTATTGTTTATGCTATTACAGTTTACAGTTCCAATTTTCCACCCTTTGCTCCCCTCCCCCCAGGTTCTCCCCTCCCCCCACTGCACTCCCTCTGGCAGTCCATGTCCATGGGTCATGCACATATGTTTTTTGGCTACACTATTTCCTATGCTGTACTTATGTCCCCATGATATTCTGGAACTAGCAATTTGTATTTTTTTTAACAATTTTTATTTTTTAAAGATTTTTAAATTAATTTTTAGAGAGAGGGAGAGAAACACCAATGTGTGGTTGTCTCTCATGTGCCCCCTGCTGGGGACCTGGCCAGCAACCCAGACATGTGCCCTGAGAGGGAATCAAACCAGTAACCCTTTGGTTTGCAGGCCAGTGCTCAATCCACTGAGCTACATCAGCCAGGGAAATACAATAATTTTTATTTTTAGTATTTTAAAGAATTTTTTTTTTATATTTTATTTATTTATTTTAGAGGGAGGGGAGGGAGCAAGGGAGACAAACATTGATGTGCCAGAGAAACATCCATTGTTTGCTTCTGGCATGTTCCCAACTAGGAACCTGGACCACAGCCCAGTCATGTGCCGTGACTGGGAATCAAACCCTTGACCTTTCAGTTCCCAGGCTGGCACTGAATCCACAGAGCCATACCAGCCAGGACGCAATTTGTACTTCTTAATTTCTTCGTTTTGTCGCCCATCTCCCTGACCCACTCCCATCTAGCAACCATCAGAACATTTTCTGTATCTATGATTGTTTCTGTTCTACTTGTTTGTTTTTGAGGCTCAATTGTTGATAAATGTGTATTTATTGCCATTTTATCGTTCATATTTTTGATCTTCTTGAAGAAGACCCTTTAACATTTCATGTGATACTGGTTTGGTGATGATGAACTCCTTTGGCTATTTCTTGTCTGGGAAGCTCTTTATCTGCCCTTTGATTCTAAATGGTAGCTTTGCTGGGTAGAGTAATCTTGGTTGTAGGTCCTTGCTTTTCATGACTTTGAATATTTCTTGCCAATGCCTTCTAGTTTGCAAGGTTTCTTTTTTTCTTTATTTAAAGATTTTATTTATTTATTTTTAGAGAGAGGGGAAAGGAGAGAGTAAGAGAGGGAGAAAATTTTTGGTGTGTGAAACAGTGGTTGCCTCTTGCACCTTCCCCAACTGGGCAACAGGCCTGCAACCTAGGCATGTGCCTTGACCAGACATCAAACTGGTGACCTTTCACTTTGCAGGATAAAGCTCAACCAACTGAGCCGTGCTGGTCAGGGCAACCTGTAAAGTTTCTTTTGAGAAATTTGCTGGCAGCCTTATGGGAGCTCCCTTGTGGGTAACTAACTGCTTTTTTCTTACTGCTTTTAGGATTCTCTCTTTGTATTTAGCCTTTGGCATTTTAATTATGATGTGTCTTGGGGTGGGCCTCTTTGGGTTAATCTTGTTTGAGATTGTCTGTGCTTCCTGGACTTGTATGTGTTTTCTTCACCAAGTTAGGAAGTTTTCTGTCATCATTTTTTCAAATATATTTCCAATTTCTCATTCTTTCTCTTCTTCCAGCATGCCCATGATGCAAATGTCGGTATGCTTAAAGTTGTCCCAGAGGCTTGTTATAGTATCTTCATTTTTTTGGATTCTTTTTTTGGAGTCTGTTCTGATTGGTAGTTTTTTGCTTCCTTATAACCCAAATCACTGATTTTCTTCTTAGCTTCATCCACTCTACTGTTGATTGTTGGTAAATTGTTCTTTATTTCAATTAGTGTATCCTTCATTTCTGACTGGATCTTTTTTTATGTTGTTGAGGTTCTCACTAAGTTCATTCAGCATCCTCATAATCAGTGTTTTGATCTCTGCATCTAGTGGATTGCTCGTCTCCGTCTTCTTTCATCTGGACCATGTTTTTTGTCTCCTCATTTTGGCAGCCTCCCTGTGTTTGTTTCTGTGTATTAGGTAGAGTTGTTTAATAGAGTAGCCTAATGTAGTAGGTGTCCTGTAGGGTTCAGTGGCTCAGCTTCTCCTATTGTCCAAGCTGGGTACTCAAGGCGTGCTCCCTGGGTGGGCTGTGTACACCCTCCTCTTGTAGTTGATCCTTGATTGCTATTGGTACGTCCAGGGACAGCCATCACCTGTGTTCTCTCTGGGGTCACACACCATAAGCTACAAAGTGATCTGCAGATGGAAGCTACTTGTGCTGGGCTTGGGGATGCCCATACAAGACCAAGCTGTGAACCAAGCCTGACTGCTGCTAGTGCTGGCACCGGGACGATTTAGCAAGATATACAGGGCTCCCAAAGCTAGATGTTGCTTGAGAGAATTTAGGATAATCTGAAGCCTGGTGCAAGAGAAGCCGTTTGTGAAAAGCCACTGTACAGCTTAGGTGGGCCCAAAATTGGGTGGGTACAGGCTACAGGGAATCACCAGGGTGGGGCAAACAGTGTGAACCAGATTGACTGATGTCAGATATAGCCCCCACCTGCAGGCTCTGTGGGGGTGCTGAACAATTCAGTTTTTCCCCCATGTGTCTGATGCCTTTCAACCTACTGTTGCTCGGTGGAGCTCAGATGAAGTGAGCTCAAGTAACTCTTTATGCAGGCCCTTTAAGAGGAATTGTCTGGGACTCCAAAAGTTTCTGTTTTCCACACCTCAATCCCTGCTGGTTTTTACAGCCAGGAGATATGGAGATTTCTTTCCCTGAGTGGAATCCTGGGTTGGGTGTCCTGGTGTGCGGTTGGGACTCCTCCCTCCTGAGAAATTCCTCCTGATTTTTATCTCCTACATGTGGGTGCGGGACCAGCCCCTCCCTTGTCTCTGCTCCTCCTACCAGTCTTGATGTGGTTTCTTTGATTCTGTATTTGGAGAACTTCCATTCAGGTCGATTTCTGATGGTTCTGGATGATGGTTATTTTATAGGTTAGTTGTAATTTTGTTGTGTTTGGGCGAGGAGGCGAACCATGTTTACCTGCACCACCATCTTGACTAGAAGTCTCCTCCAGACACTGTTTTAAGCACCTCAATTCTATAATGTAGGTAGTATTTGTTCCATTACACAGGTGAGGAGACTGAAGCCCAGGAAACCAGACAGTTGGGTGGCTGGCTCCAGCTCTCAAAATTAGTAAAGAGATGGCTTATGTGAGACCAGCGAGAGTGAGGGGTGAAGTGAGTGACTACTTCAGGCTAAAGAAATGGGCCTTTAAGTGGCTCAGCAAGCATGAGGAGGCACTGGGAGAAGTGAATGCAAGTGGCTCAGCCATGCTGTAGCATGGATGAGGTTAGGGTATTTGGCAGGTCAGGTAGGGTATTTGGGTTTTAGCCTAAGGGTGATGGAGTTTTTTAAAAAATTGAAAGAGAGGAGTTTTAATATCAGAATATTAGTTAGATTTCCCCATTCAAGACCTGAACTCTCACCAATTCCAAGAACCCTACAGAACTCCCAGCCTCAGCCAGCCCAACACTACTTATAGCTGGAGAACTCTGGCTGAACCAGGTTTCTGGGGGAGCAGGCTTAGATTTCTTCCTGCACAGCAGCCAGTTTCCAGGGAACAAAAGTTCTGCTGCCCCCTAACGGGTGTGGGTATTTATTCATCTAAAAATGAATAAATAAAATCTTAAAAAAAAAGGACACTCCAGAACTTAAGGTGGACTTCCATCTCCATCACTTACGAGTTATATGACTTGGGCAAGTCTGTTACCTCTACATGCCTCACTTTCTTCATTTGTAAAAGCAAAACCGTAACAGCTCATACTTCTTCAGTTTCTGAGGATTAAATGGGTTAATACATGTAAAGAGTTAGAACTGGGTATGACACATGATCAACACTGTAAATATTTGCTGCTATTATCCATTCTCACTAAAGTTGAGGACTTGGGTCTAGGTCATCCTTCAGTAAATTTTTCAGCTACTTTTTTTTTTTTTTAGATTTTCCTTCTTTCTTTAGAGATGGGGGTAGGGAGTGAGAAAGAGAGGGATAGAAACATCATTGTATGGTTGTCTCTCACATGCCCCTCACTGGGGACCTGGCCCGCAACTCAGGCATGTGCCCTGTCTGGGAATTGAACCAATGACCCTTTGGTATGCAGTCCGTGCTCAATCCACTGAGCTACACCAGCCAGGGCTCAACTCCTTTTTACCAAAGGCCTTTTAGGCTGAATCCTGGGGCTGGGGGTGAAAGGGGAAACCAACACAGAGGCCCAGACAGGATCGAGGGCAACCAACTCAAGGCACTGGGGCAGGCTTTACAGAGAAAGCTTAGTGCAGATTCCTCAAACAGAGGCAGAAGGAGGGGCATCCCGGGAGGAGGGAGCAACTAAAGCAAAGGCTCAGAGGAGATGGGGCCCGAGAGTTAAAGGCATTGAAAGCCAGCATAGGAACTAACACGTTGTGTGAGATTGTGGCGTGTTATCCGAAGCCTCAAATCAGAAGAAAGACTTAGATTTTCTGTTTAGAAGATGTATTGTCTGTTGTGGGAAGAACAGGTCATAAAAGGCTGGTAGGCTGCTCTAAGGTAGTGACAGCAGTGGAGGCAAGACAGAAAGCAGGGGATATTTGGGCACC